CTGTGAACTTCGCTGAACTTGCGTCAGCCAGGCGGAGTAGGTGGGGATGCAGGCCTTGGACAGATGGTGTGGGGGTTTGGGGGTTTAGGGTTTAGGGTTTAGGGTTTAGGGTTTAGGGCTTAGGGTTTAGGGTTTAGGGTTTAGGGCTTATGGTTTAGGGTTTAGGGTTTAGGGCTTAGGGCTTAGGGTTTGGGTTTAGGGTTTAGGGTTTAGGGTTTAGGGTTTAGGGTTTAGGGTTTAGGGTTTAGGGTTTAGGGTTTAGGGTTTAGGGTGTTGGTTTTAGCTTTTAGGGTTTAGGGTTTAGGGTTTAGGGTTTAGGGTTTAGGGTTTAGGGTTTAGGGTTTAGGGTTTAGGGTTTAGGGTTTAGGGTTTAGGGTTTAGGGTTTAGGGCTTAGGGCTACTATACTAGGACTACAAGGGGGCATAGGGCTTAGGGCGTAGCGGGTTGAGGGTTTGGGGGTTGAGGGGTTAGGAGTTAGGGTTTAGCTTTGGGGTCAAGGGGTTTAGGAGTTAGGGTTTGGGGGTTTGAGGGGTTTAGGAGCTTTAGGGCTTAGGGCTTAGGGTTCAGGGTCGGTTAGGGGGCTTCATCACGCGGGCTCGCAGGGCGTCTGGGCACACAGGGCTTTTTGCAAAATGTCCTGACCATCGAAAGCCAAGCAACACCACAACACTCGAAAATCTCCAACTCGAAGCGTAGTTGCACGGCCCCTCAACATGGGCCCTTAGTTGGGGAACCCTCATCGTGATATACCCCGTCTATTCCCGAGGAAACTGCAGGAACCCAAGGGCCGGCTCATGCCTCAGAACCCTTGAAGGAAGGTAAGGGACCATTTTCTTACAAACCTGGCACTCCTAACTCCTAACCCTTGCCAATCCCCTATATATATATATATATACTGGCATTAAATCGGGATTGAAACATAGGGGGGGGGGGGGGGGTACTATAATCCCTATTAAAAACTGCTCGTATGAGGGGGACCATCCCAACCTGGCACCCCTAACCCTTGCCACTCCCATAGAAAACTCCAAAGCCCAAACCCCAAACCCTAAACCCTAAACCCTAAACCCTAAACCCTGGCACTGGAAGCCCCACGAAACCCTTTTTGGACCCTGAGTTCCTCCCACCCACGAAGCCCACCTCAAAAACCCTAAACCCTAAACCCTAAACCCTAAACCCTAAATCCTAAACCCTAAACCCTAAACCCGAAATCCTAAGCCCCTAAGCCCTAAGCCCTAAACCCTAAACCTTAAACCCTAAATCCTAAACCCTAAACCCTACTTAAATCCTAAACCCTACACCCTAAGCCCTAAACCCTAAGCCCTAAACCCTAAGCCCTAAACCCTAAATCCTACAGCCCTGAGCCCCAGTGCCTCCTTCACCAACTTCACGATGCACTCGGCGTAGGCGACCTCTTTGTTCAGGGTTGAGCCCCCGCCCCCCCCCCCCCCCCCCCCCCCCCCAAAAAAAAAAGCGGTTTAGGGTTTAGGGTTCCCTCCTACCCCCCTCTATATATCCCGCCTCTACATGATTTGGCATCATTTCCGAAGCTTTTGAGCCACAACTGCTGTTTTGGGCTTAGAGGGCTTAGGGTTAAGGGGTTCTCTCTGTGGGGTGCGCGCTTGAATGTCCCAGGTGCTGGGCAGAGGGCTTGGTTTTCGACTCTGACAACTGGATGAACACCCACTCAACAGACAACGGGTACAAGGAAAGCCCTCCCTAAAGCCCCCAAAGCTACACCCTAAACCCTAAACCCTAAACCCTAAACCCTAAACCCTAAACCCTAAACCCTAAACCCTAAACCCTAAACCCTAAACCCTAAACCCTAAACCCTAAACCCGCAATTGTGACCATCCTTCCCTTTGTTTGCTGTTTTGCCGCGTCTTGCCTGGAAGAAAGCTCAAAGCTACCCTGGGTTTGAAGTTTAGACTTTAGGGGCTTCAGGAGCTTGGGGGCTTAAGGTTTCGGGCTCAAGGGCTTAGGGGCGGATTTTTGTTATTCTTTTTTTGGGGACGGGGCCTGGAGTCTACGCCTGCGACATGACTCCTTGCCGTTGAGGAGCTTTAGGAGCTTTAGCGGCATTAAAGCAGCTTTCGGAGCTCTGGGGGATCTTCCGCTTTTAGGGTTGTAGGGTTGCAGGGTTGTAGGGTTGTACTAAACCCTAAACCCTAAACCCTAAACCCTAAACCCTAAACCCTAAACCCTAAACCCTAAACCCTAAACCCTAAACCCTAAACCCTAAACCGCCCCTGCCTGGCCCTGGAGCAGCAGACCAGCTCGCAGCGTGGAGGCATCGTCGCTGAGGCGTCCAAGGAGCCGCAGCACCTGTGGTCAGGGTTTAGGGTTTAGGGTTTAGGGTTGAGGGTTTAGGGTTTAGGGTTTAGGGTTTAGGGTTTAGGGTTTAGGGTTTAGGGTTTAGGGTTTAGGGTTTAGGGTTTAGGGTTTAGGGCTTAGAGTTTAGGGTTTAGGGTTTTGGGATTAGGGTTTCCGGTTTAGGGAGAGCATCTCAAAGAAAATTCGGGGCTTAGCGATGAGGGCTTATGGGGCCGCGAACCCTCCTTCTCACAAGGGCCAAAATAGTGCCCTGCCACTGTCCCACTGCACCCGAAGAATTCTCATGATGGGTTCCGCAAGCTTGCTCCCAGGGGAGGAGTTTTGAGACGAAAGCTGAGCAAATCAGCACTGCCTACTAGGCGGAAGCTGGCCCTCTAAGCAGGCTCGTTACAGCGAACAAAGCTTTGCTGAATCAGGGAGGAAGCCCCCAAATACTGTCCAACTTTCCCTAAACCCTAAACCCTAGCCCTAAACCCCAAACCCTAAACCCTACACCCCAAACCTTACACCCTAAACCCTAAACCCTAAACCCAACTTGGGCGTCATTATGGAACTTGGGGTCAAGGGCTCCAGCCGATTCTAACGATTTTTGATTTTTGGCGAACTTTCAGTCGCACCACTGTCTGGTTGAGGCCCGAGGGCTTCGTGTCTCTGTGTGCTTGGGGCTCGCATGTATGTTCCCTGAAGCCGAAAACCCTGAAACCCCTCAAACCATGAGGCCTAAACACTGAACCCCTAAGCCGTAGCTTAATTTCGGATCTGGGAGCCTCAAATACCTCATCATACACAAATGTAAACCCTTGCCTTGAGTGACTTAGGATTTCGACTACCGATTTGGGCTTGCACGGTTTTTCTCTCTGTTCAGGACGGAACCAATCCCCCCCCCCCACCCCCAAATGCTTGGGCTTGCACTGTCCTCCACCCCCTCCGCGAACGAACCTCTAAACAGCGACCTCCTCCCCCGAAGAAACCCTCCAAACGAAAATCCTCAACCCAACAAACCCTCCGGTGTGCAAAAAAGTACGGGCCCACAACTCAGACTTAGCACGATAATTATGTGGGGGGCAGTTGCAAAAGTTCCAGACCCCAAGCCCTAAACCCCAAACCCTAAACCCTAAACCCCAAACCCTAAACCCTAAACCCTAAACCCCAAACCCTAAACCCTAAACCCCAAACCCTAAACCCTAGGCCTTCTCCAAGTAGCGCATGGCCACGCTCAGCCGCGCGGCGGGCGGAGCCTCGCCTCGGCAAGGTATCCCAGATCTGCTGCTTCACCGGGAGAGAAAAAAAGCAGTGCAGGGTTTAGGGCTTAGGGTGTAGGGTTCAGGGTTCAGGGTTTAGGGTTTAGGGTTTGGGGTTTAGGGTTTAGGGTTTAGGGTTTCGGGTTTAGGGTTAGGGTACTTGCTCAATTTTTCTGTTCACTTGTTGGTGGATGAGTTGGGATGTTCCCCCTTATGTCCCAAGAGGGGTTACTATACTTTTTTTTTGGCTGGTTCTTAGTAGGGAATGGAGGTACCTATATACTCCCTGACAAGGGTATATATAGGGCCCTAGTCCCCTCATTCCCTAGGAAGAACCAGGATTTTTCTGTTCATTTGATGGATAAGGATCTTTTCAGCCTAACGTGTTACACCCTTATCCTCCCAACTGACTGAAAAGTTCTTGGATTGGTCCCACGGCAGGGCTAGACCTAAACCCTAAACCCTAAACCCTAAACCCTAAACCCTAACCCTAAACCCTAAACCCTAAACCCTAAACCCTAAACCCTAAACCCTAAACCCTAAACCCTAAACCCTAAACCCTAAACCCTAAACCCTAACAACCCTCAAGCCCTAAACCCCTAAAACCTGTGAGCCGAAACTGTGAAACTCTAAGGCTCTCCTCCTAAATCGTAAGCACCCAAAACCCAAAAAGACAAAAAAAAAAAAAAGGAAACCCTTCAAACCCTTCAAACCCTTCAAACCCCTAAAACCCTTCAAACCCTTCAAACCCTTCAAACCCTTCAAACCCTTCAAACCCTTCAAACCCTTCAAACCCTTCAAACCCTTCAAACCATCAAACCCTAAAACCCTTAAACCTTAAAAACCCTCAAAAACCCTAAAAACCGTGAAAACCCTAAAAACCCTAAAAACCCTAAAAAACCTAAAACCGTAAAACAGCAAAAGCCTAAAAGCCTAAAAGCCTAAAAGCCTAAAAGCCTAAAAGCCTAAAAGCCTAAAACCCCAAAACCCAAAAACCCCAAAACCCCAAAACCCTAAAACCCTAAAACCCTAAAACCCTTGAACCCTAAAACCCTAAAACCCTAAAACCCGAAAACCCTAAAACCCTGAAAACCTAAAACGTTAAACGCCCTAAAACCCTAAAACCCTGAAACCCTCAAACCCTCAAACCCTCAAACCCTAAACCCCTAGAACCCTAAAACCCTAAAACCCTTAAACCCTAAAAACCCTAAAACCCCAAAACCCTAAAACCCTAAAACCCCAAAACCCAAAACCCAAAAACCCAAAAACCCAAAAACCCTACAACCCTTCAAACCCTTCAAACCTTTCAAACCCTAAAAACCCTAAAACCCTAAAACCCCAAAACCCCAAAACCCTAAAACCCCAAACCCTAACCCTAACCCCTAAACTCTAAACCCCTAAAACCCTAAAACCCTTCAAACCCTAAAACCCGAAAACCCTGAGCTTGTGACGCCAAGGGCACCTGGTGGTGTTGTGACCGATGCGGCTTGGTCCGCTAGTGCGGCCACAGGCGTGCGCATGTAGGAACACCTCATTGTTAATTGTTCTGGTTATTCTTTTTCTTCTTACTCGTCTTCTTATTCTTCTTATTCTAATTGCTCTTATTATTCTTAACATTCTGATAATTCTTGTCTTTCTTGTTGCTGCTATTTTACTTTTACTTTTTATTGTTAGCTGAATTCTTATTGCTGCTAATAAGAGAAAGAACAAGTGCCTACAACATGTATAGATGTACTCAGATTTAGATAATGAAATACAGCCCACAGGCGGTTGGTGGTTGCAGAGTTTAGGCTTTGGGGGTTTAGGATTGTGATTTAAGTGGGGTTGCTAACAGGGACCCCTTTTATAAGGGCCTAGGGTTTAGGGCAACCCGAAATGGACTCGAGCTTATGGAAGCCGCGCACGCGCCCTCCGAAGTACTGATTTCGGGCAGGCACCTTGAGTTGAGGGTTAAGGATTTAGGGTTTAGGGTTGAAGGTTTAGGGTTAGGGAGCCACTTTGTTGGGGCAGCCTAACAAAGCCAGCTAGGGGAGTAAAAGCAGGACTCAGGCAGCACGCTCCGTGAAAATTCAAGTCGGCTGCAAAAAATCCCACCTTCAACTCGACATACCTTCGGTATACCCCATAAGCGTGCCAGTAAGCAATAGCCCCACATGGACTTTGCCAAGGTCGCTAGAAGCCCCCCAATTCCAGTTTGCAGCCGAAATCCTAAAGCACCCCTCAACCCCAAACCCTAAACCATAAGATCCCTAAACCCTACTAAAATCCCTCAACCCCAAACCCTAAACCCTAAACCCAAACCCCAAACCCTAAAAGACTCTGATGAAGACGAGCTGCGCAAGCTGGAGGGCCGCTGTTGCGTAAAGCCCATACCTCCGTGGCTTTGGGGGTTCAGGGTTTCGGGTTTCGGGTTTAGGGTTTAGGGTTTAGGGTTTAGGGTTTAGGGTTTAGGGTTTAGGGTTTAGGGTTTAGGGTTAGGGGTTCAGGGTTCTGGAGGTACAGGTACTCTGCGGGCTGATGGAAGTTTATAGGGTTGATACAAGGATTTATACAAGGGGGCTTCGAAAGGCCTTTTCGTGTCTTGAGGTGTAGGGTTTAGGTATTACTTAGTTGTCCAGTACCTATGGGTTTTAAAGGTTAACCTTTGGGATTACAAGGGGAATATATTAGCCCAAAAAGGTTAAAGGTTATCTACTCTACTACTAAGATTAGGGTTTAGGGCTGTAAAGTCGATAAGATTTACAGGGTCTAGGGTAGTCCCCGCACTCCCGGACTTGAGCAGAGGATGCGGACCCGAACTCCGTCAAAGGGGCGGCCAAGAAGGTACCACTGGGATTTCGGGTTTAGGGTTGAGTGTTTTCAGGTTTAGGACTAGGGCTTCGGGTTTCGGGCCCTTGGCCGCCTAGGGTTGCATCCTTGAACTCTGGGACGTTAACCCAGGTCCGTGAGTGGATTATTTCAATAACACAAAGGGTGCCCCTGCATTTGCATTCATGAGCTGTGCGGGGGAACGGAACACCAAAAGCACAAGCAAGGGAAGTCCTACAAACCCTACAAACAAGCACAAAGAAGCCACTACACACCCTTAAAACCCGTTGTGTTAACCTTATGTTGCCTTAGAAGAGCCTTTGTATCAACGCTATACGAACCAGGGCCCACTGACCCCCAAACTTTCCTGAAACCCCTACTGGGAGCCGCCTTCTACCTGCCTGGGACCTACCTGGGACCCCCCTGCGCTTTCCTGAAATCCTTCCTTAGGACCTAGAACTGCATTGGGACAAGGTTGTTTGGAAGTGGGCAATTGACTTGAGTTTAGGCGTAAGCCCTAAAAGGAACAGGCTAGGGGGCTTTTGCCGGCTTGGACTGTGTAGGGTGCATGGGAGAAAGGTGTCAGAGCTGCTCTTCGCACCTAACGAAGCTTTTGGGCCTCTTCTGCACCTCCTGACCTTCACAGCATCTGCGCCACATTGCAGCAAATCCTAAACCCTAAACCCTAAACCCTAAATCCTAAACCCCTGAGCCCTAAACCCTAAACCCTAAACCCTAAAACCGAAACCCTAAACCCTAAACCCTAAACACTAAACCCTAACCCTAAATCCTAAACCCTAAACCGACTGCCGTGAGCTCAGGCCCTCCAGGCATGCCAAGCTGCTGATCTTCCTTCAGCGGTTCCAAGAGGTGTGTCGCCTCTCCAGCTGAAGCTTTAGGGTTGAGGGGCTTAGGAGTTTAGGGTTGAGGGTTTAGGGGTTTAGGGGTTTAGGGGTTTAGGGGCTTAGGGGTTTAGAGTCTAGGGTTTAGGGTTTAGGAGTTGAAGGTTTAGGGTTTGGTGACCTCTTGTGAAATCTGTCCGTCTCTGGTCGTTGCTGTTGTCGCTTCAGGGTCTTTAGGGTCTAAAGCCACCCCCGAAATCCTAAACCCCTTAGAGTTAGGACCCTAAACCCTAAACCCTAAACCCTAAACCCTAAACCCCAAACCCCAAACCCTAAACCCTAAACCCCAACCGGTTGAAGAGCTCGGACGCAAGCGGAGCCTTCTGAAGCAGCTGGCGTTGGTCGGATTCCTGCCTTGCGCGTGTGTTGCCAGGGCTTACCACACCTTAAATCAGGACTAGGGTTTAGGGTCAGGGTTTCGGGTTTAGGTAAATGGGTAGAGCTATATGTAGGGACCCAAATTGCAGTTCTACCCAGGTCTACCCACCCAAAAAAATACAGAATGAGAACAGTATATGTACATAGATATATATACATAAAAAAAAACATGGCAACACGAACAAACATAGGAACACAGCCGGGAAGGCGTGAAAACCAGGATTTGGCGATGAGGGTTTACTAGACCCAGGAATAAACAAGGTGCCCTGTTTGCTTTTAAGGGGGGCTAGAAGGGAACCTGAAACCCTAAACCCTAAACCCTAAACCCTAAACCCTGAACCCCGAAAAAAGACAATAAGGGCCTACCCTAGGTCCTGAGAGCCTAAACCCCGCTATTTCATCCCGAAGCCCGGAACCCCGAGAACCCCAAACCCGCTTTACCCCAAACCCTAAGAGTCCTATACACCCTAAACCCTAAACCCTAAACCCTAAACCCTAAACCCTAAACCCTAAACCCTAAACCCTAAACCCTAAACCCTAAACCCTAAACCCTATACCCACCGAGTTGCTCCATGGACTTGGCAAGGTGGAAGCAGAGCGACGCGATGGGAGTCGCAAGGGAGGGCGTGGTCCTTTCGGGTGGGAGGCGCCCAGTTCTCTTGGCGTTTGGGTTTCTACGATTTGCTTAGGGGCCCCCCTTTAAGGGCAATATAGGGTATGTAACATATCTTATTTTGGGGGGGTTCTTAAGCAAATAGTAGTTTTAGGGTCTCGTGCATACCTACATACATGCATGCATGCATGCATACATGCACATGTGCGCGTGTGTGTGTGTGTGTGGGGGTGTTATGTATACTCTGTCTCTTTGAGGGTGCCCTCAACTAACTGGCCATCGTGCAGAGGACAAGCCTCCCAAGGCTCTCGGCAAAAAGAAGCCCCGTGCGATGGCGGTAGGCTTTAGGGTTTTGGGTTTCTAGGTAGGACAACTGAAGCATGTAAGGGGATTTAGGGTTGGGTTTAGGTTTGCGAAATAGAAAAACTGGAGCTGCAACCTGAAAATAACCTTGTTGGGGCTTCTTCGCGAACCGACCCCCTAAATTCAAACCCCCCCCCACCCCCTGACTCCCTTGTCTCCGAGAAGATCTCCTACCCCCCTCCACGCCCCCGTTCCCCCTCCTAAAAGCGCCTAGCCTTACCCCGCCCCAATGGATTCCGGACAAACAAAAACTATTCGCAAACAAGAAAAGCAAATATGAAGCGCCGAAACACAACCCCACGCCCCATAAACCCCTTTACTTTCCAGAATGCACCGATATACGCCTCTAGAAAACCCGAGGCACCCCCCTTCAGAGCAAAATTCAGCCTACAAACCCCATTAAGCCCTATGTCCTACGACCCTAGACCCCTAAATGTCCACCCTGAGCCCTAAACCCAACAACCCCGCGCCCATAAACTAGATCGCAAGCTCCTGAGCCTCCTCACCCTAAACCCTATCCCTACCGTAAGACCCTAGACCCTCAGCTCCCTAAGTCCCTAAGCCCCTAAGCGCCTAAGCCCCTAAGCCCCTAAGCTCTAACCCTAACCCCTAAACCCTAAACCCTAAACCCTAAACCCTAAACCCTAAACCCTAAACCCTAAACCCGAAGAACCCACCAACACCCGGCCTGAAGGCCGCTGAGGTCTCCCAGTTGCCATCCTCATCCTGCAAGCTTCGGGTTTAGGGTTTAGGGTTTAGGGTTTAGGGTTTAGGGTTTAGGGTTTAGGGTTTAGGGTTTAGGGTTTAGGGTTTAGGGTTTAGGGTTTAGGGTGCAGGGTTTAGGGTTTAGGGTTTAGGGTTTAGGGTTTAGGATTGAGGGTTTAGGGTTTAGGGTTTAGGGTTTAGGGTTTAGGTCATAGGGTTGTGGGGTTCAGGGTTAGAGTGTTTAGGGTTCTGGGTATAGGGTTGGGGTTTAGGATTTGGGGTTTGGGGTTTAGCGCGGGCGTCGTCCGAGCCCTTAAAGGTTCCCAGATTCCAAACCCGTTCCACAGCACGCGCGCACACACACACACACACACACACACGGAGACCCCAACCAATTGAAACTCATTTGTTTTCTTGTATATTGTTGTGTGTTGGCCTTGAGCCAGGGCGGGAGATGGGTTAGAGGTCTGTGGTCGGTACCCGCTGATGCCGAGATCTACTCACCAAAACGAATCCCGGCCGCACAAGCTTGTCACCGTGCAACTCTTCGCTGGCGCATCGTGGCGCAGCCTCGAAAACTCTACCACCCCTTAAACCCCAAACCCGAAACCCTAAACCCTCTAAACCCTAAACCCCTAAACCCTAAACCCTAAACCCCTAAACCCTAAACCCCTAAACCCCTAAACCCCTAAACCCCTAAACCCCTAAACCCCTAACCCCCTAAACCCCTAAACCCCTAAACCCCTAAACCCCTAAACCCCTAAACCCCTAAACCCCTAAACCCCTAAACCCCTAAACCCCTAAACCCTAAACCCTAAACCCTAAACCCTAAACCCTAAACCCCAGCCCTCTGAGTCCCGACCTCACGCTCACCGGAATTGCTGATGTCGAAGAGCTCGGCTCGAGAGCTATTCCTGGCAGTCCGTATTATCCATTCATATGGGGGCTTCCGAGTTTAGGGTTTAGGGTTTAGGGTTTAGGGTTTAGGGCTTAGGGTTTAGGGCTTAGGGTTTAGGGCTTAGGGTTTTAGGGTTTAGGAATCCTACTGTTTGGGGGTCTATATTGGGGTCCCCGATTTTCGTAAACTCCCATATAAAAACCACTGATAAAACTACGTGCGAGAACTGTACAGTATACGGTATACACTTGACATTATGCACGATACATTGTAGATTGTATATTATGCATTATACATGATACATAATACATAATACATTATACAGTACACATTATACATTTACATTATACAGAATACGTTATATACATTATACATTATATACATGATAGATTCTACATTTTGGAATGTATACTATACATAATGCATTAAACATTGTACATTATACATGATACATTATATGTTATACATTATACATTATACACTATACTGTATTATATACTATATATTACATGCTGCAATATCTCTCAACCCCTCTCGTGCCCTAGGCCCACAGCACGAAAGCCTGAATCCCTAATGAACCCCCAAAGCCCTAAAGGTATAGGGTCTAGGGCTTCAGGGCAACCTCCTGACCCTCCAAAACCAGGAACCCCAAACAAGCACAAGCTCCCCACGCCGGTTTAGGGTTTCGGGTCTAGGGTCTAAGTAGGGTTTAGGGTTTAGGAGCTAGGGTTTAAGGTTTAGGGTTTAGGGTTTAGGCTAGCCCTAAGCCATTGCAATCCCAGCATCTGCTCGCGGAAGAGCCAATAAGTACCGCCTTCCCTTCGACATCTCCTTGGCTACATGGGCCCTAAACCCTAAACCCTAAACCCTAGACCCTAAACCCTAAACCCTAAACCCGAAAGGTTTTTGTCGGCTTTGGGGTTCGGCGTGCCAGGATCTGGGGTTGAGGGTTGAGGGCTTAGGGTCAATCCTGGCCCGACAAGCACGTACAGACCGGTACCTGGGAACCTTACATTTAGGGTTTAGGGTTTAGGGTTTAGGGTTTAGGGTTTAGGGTTTAGGGTTTAGGGTTTAGGGTTTAGGGTTTAGGGTTTAGGGTTTAGGGTTTAGGGTTTAGGGTTTAGGGTCTACGGTTTAGGATTTAGGGTTTAGGGTTTAGGTTTGGCTCCTGTAGGCTTTTTGTTGGGTTCGGCTCTGAGGTTAAGTTTAGCCCCAGAAAGAAGGTGCGCTCTAACCCTCCAACCCTAAACCCATAACCCTAAACCTCGTTGAAACCATACAACCCTCAAGCACGAAGATGCTGAGACCCGAGAGCCCTAAGAAGCCCAACCCACCTGAAACCCCCAAAACCCCCAAACACCTAAGTCCTAAACACTAATCCCTTAATCCCTTGATCCCTAAACCCTAAACCTCGTTGAAAGAACCGCGAGCTCTCGTCGCCCGGGCGCTGCCTCAAGAAGTGCAGCAGCTGCTGCCCATGCTCCTAGGGGAGAGGGTTTAGGGTTACCCTAAACCCTAGCACCCTAGAACCCTAGAACCCTAGAACCCTAGAACCCTAAAACCCTAAAACCCTAAAACCCTAAAACCCTAAAACCCTAAAACCCTAAAACCCTAAAACCCTAAAACCCTAAAACCCTAAACCCTAAACCCTAAACCCTAAACCCTAAACCCTAAACCCCAAACCCTAAACCCCAAACCTTAAACCCTACTGTTCTATGGCCAGCGCCCAACACTCCAAACCCCCAAGCTCGAAGTCCCAAAGCCGCAGGCTCGCAACCCCAAATCCTGGGTTTAGGGTTTAGGGTTTAGGGTTTAGGGTTTAGGGTTTAGGGTTTAGGGTTTAGGGTTTAGGGTTTAGGGTTTAGGGTTTAGGGCTTAGGGCTTAGGGCTTAGGGCTTTGGGTCCAAGGCACGCGGAGGCGATCCGGATCGAAACGCTCCGCATCACCTGCCGCATCTGGCCCAGGGTTCGTGTTGCTTCGGAACCCTCTGAGCGCCTTATCCTAAACCCTAAACCCTAAACCCTAAACCCTAAACCTTAAACCGTAAACCCTAAACCCTAAACCCTAAACCCTAAACCCTAAACCCCTAAACCCCTAAACCCCTAAACCCCTAAAGCCCTAAAGCCCTAAACCCCTAAACCCCTAAACGCCCAAGCCCCAAACCCTGAACCCAGTCGTGGTTGAGGGCTGGGTCATTTAGGGCCTTAACAATTGGAATAGGGTTTGGGCTTTACGGTTTCGGGGTTTTGGGGTTCGGGGTTCAGGGTTTAGGGTTTACGGCTTAGGGTTAAGGGTTTAATTTGTGCTTGGCGTCTCGGGATTTTAGGATTGTGTTTCGGACTGCGAGAGCTTTGAGGCTTCAGGTTTCATAGGGTTGCGTGGCCTTACGTTTCCAAGGGGGATTCGACCAGGCTTGAGGGGAGGGAACAGCGCCGAGGCCCGACAACCTACATACAGAAGGGGAGACCCTGACTCTCTTGGAAGCTCTCCCACTAGTAACGCGAAACCCTAAACCCTAAACCCTAAACCCTAAACCCTGAACACTAAACCCTAAACCCTAAACCCTAAACCCTAACCCCAGCCTGAACTTTGCGGCAGGTCGGCAGTGTTGTGGACCTCAGAAGCAGGACTAGGGGTTGAGGGTTCCAGGGTTCGAGGGCTGAAGGTTTGAGGTTTGTTTAGGGTTGAGGGTTGAGGGTTGAGGGTTGAGGGTTGAGGGTTGAGGGTTTAGGGATTAGGGATTTAGGGTTGTAGGGTTTAGGCTTCGGGGGTGTAAATTTGTTGCCTTCAGTGGCCACAGAGCCTTATTTCGGACGTGTTTAACACGGTCCCATGCATCTTGGCAAGGCGCCGGGGTTTTGCAGGTGTTTCAGGTCTTGGTTCTGTTTGGGGGAATTGGGACTTGTGGGTTTGGGGTTCTCATGTCGGGTCATACAGGGCATTTTGTGCATTAGCTCCCCTCCCCATCATGACTTCTGTATTGGCTAGGGCTCAGGGTTTAGAGTTTAGTGTCCAGGGTTGAAAGATTCTAGGTGCAGCAAAGGAGTTCCAGTTAGCTTGTCGGCAGGAGTGCAGGCGAACGTGCTGAGATTGATGCCCCACAAGTAGAAAAAGGCCTATATCCTCGTCAGAACTTGAGACCCTAATCTCCTCATGAAGGGCCTAAGCACTAAACCCTACACCCTAAACCCGAAAACCGAAAACCCTCCCTAAAAGCCAAAACCCTAAAACCTAAACCACAAAGTATGGGCGCACAACGAAGCTTCAAAGGCTGCGGCGAAAATGAAAATTCAAATTGAAGGTTTAAGGTTTAGGGTTTAGGGCTTGGGAGTTTTGGGTTTAGGGTGCCAGGGTTTTAGGGCTTAGCGGTTTAGGGCTTAGGGGTTTAGGGTTTGGGGTTAAGGGTTTTGGGGGGGGGGGGGGGGTGCCAGAAAGGGAGCTTCAACAAACGGAACCTACCATCCGCCCTCGGCCCGCGGCTGACCACGTCATTGCCTCGCCTTGGGGGCAGCCCCAGACGACCTTGTTCAGGGTTTAAATGTTTAGGGTTTGGGGTTGAGGGTTTAGGGTTTAGGGTTTCGGGTTTAGGGTTTAGGGTTTAGGGTTTAGGTTTTGGGGTTCAGGGTTAAAGCATGTTCCCTACTCGAAGGGGCCGTGATTCAGATCGAACCGCCCTCACAGGACTTTGAATTTCTTAGGCTGTTGAGGGTTTAGGGTTTCGGGTTTAGGGTAGTGTCGTTGTTGAGCAGATGCGCTGCCAACACAAAAAATCAGACAAGGGATCTCTGCTGGAGTGAAGCCTGGTAACTGCGAAGCCCCCAGAATCTCTACCAAAAAGATGGTGTAAGGGTAGTTTCATGGTTCTTTTGCATGGGCCCTTAAAGGGGACCCCATGTATACCCCTTGTGAACCCCTTTTTTTTCACTACCCGTAGAGATGGGGCATGAACCTAGGCCCTGGCCTAGGAACCGAAAGATTTTTTAGGCTAACATGGGGCTGATACTCACCTCCCCCTCCCAAAACATGAAGAGGGCTGACACAAGGGCACCAGGCCAGGATGCCAGAAGCGCTAAACCTACACCGGAGCTTCAGCCCAAAAACCCCGAAACCCAAACTAAACCTCCACCTTCATGTTCTTCAGGGGGGCTCTACAGGAGCTCTTACGGGCTCAGGTAATTACGGTGCTTTTGGACTCTTGTTTGGATTTCGGCCTTTTGAGGTTTACAGGGGCGCCGGGTGGGCCGCCTTGGTGATGTCGCACATGGTGTTCTCCAGATAGACGTCCAACCTCCTTAGGCGACGGTCACGTGAACCAGAGTCAGCCCTCGCCCAAAAATCATTCCGAAATTGGGGGTGCCTTTTTGGGGGTCCTTACTACAAGGGAGTCCTACCTTTTGGGGTCTCTGTTCCTAAACCCTAAACCCTAAACCCTAAACCCTAAACCCTAAACCCTAAACCCTAAACCCTAAACCCTACTTTCGTCAACCCCCAAATAGGAACCAGCTGGTGAAAGGTGTTGTCCATGCTCAGCTAGGAATAGATGGCTGCAGCCTACAGCCCGAAACCCGAAACCCCCTAAACCCGAAACTCAAGCCGGAGCGTGGACCCTTAGGCACCCCCAAACTGGGATGCTCCCCCTTATAGGGATTCAGTACTCCCTATTAAAATCCCCATTAAGGATTGTTAGCGTAAGGGCGAACATCCCAACCCCTAAACCCCGAAACACACCAAAGCATCTGAAACACCCTAAACACCGGAAGTTGCCTTCAACCCAACAAAAACCAAAAAGCTTCTCGAAAATCATCGACACCCTAAATCCCCCCCTACACCCTGAACCCTAAACCCTAAACCCTGAACCGTAAACCCTAAACCCTAAACCCTACCCCGACCCCTGAAACAATAAAATACACACAACCCTGAACCCTGAAACTTCGAGGCCAGGCAGCTCGTCCTTCGAAGGCTGCGAGACGTTCGGCGCCATCAGCCTCACTGGCAGTCTTCTGCTCAACCTTTTCTTGTTTTTGTTCTTTGTTTTTTTTGGTAGGGTTCAAGGATGTAAGGATTTAAGAGTTTAGGGTTTAAGTTTAGGGTTTGGGGTTTAGGTTTAGGCTTTAGGGGTTTGGAAGGGGGGGAGAGGTTTAGGGGTCGCTTCAGGAAGCGTTTTGCACCTAAGTCAGGCTTGCGCCGTGTGCGTGCAACTTAGCGTTTATGTGTCGCAGAAGGAGCCCACTTAATATAGGGGTCGGAAGAAGTACCAATAGCATTCCCTTAGAGTCCCTATATACGAATACTATAATAAACCCAACACCCTGTTCTACTTCTTGAGGTCCCTATGGTACATAAACCCTCCGAAACCTAAGCCCAAAGAGTGGACCCCACTCCCAAATCTAAACCCTAAACCCCAAACCCCAAACCCTAAACCCCAAACCCTAAACCCCAAACCCTAAACCCTAAACCCTAAACCCCAAACCCTAAACCCCAAACCCTAAACCCCAAACCTCAACCCGCCCCAGGAGCTTGAAGGAGGCGAAGTCGGTGATGTCGCTTTGATCCTTGGCACTCCATGCAGCGAGGTCTTGCAAGCGCCCAAGGGTGCCAGGGTTTAGGGTTTAGGGTTTAGGGTTTAGGGTTTAGGGTTTAGGGTTTAGGGTTTAGGGTTTAGGGTTTCGGGTTTAGGGTTTAGGGTTTAGGGTTGGGATGTTCCCCTTACACTAAGACTTCATCGGGATCATCGTAGGGATACTAGAATCCCGATTAAGGACGGATAGTGCAAGGGGGAACATCCCAAGTTTAGGGGCTTAAGCCCCAAGCGCAAACTCGAAGAAAGCCCAAAGAACACCCCAAAAACATCTCCTCCGAATCCGAAGCGACCTGAAATAGCCCTCTTCCGGTTCTCCCTCCCCCCCCCATTTTCGGTTGCCCCCCTTTTGGCGACCTGTGATCCGTGTATAATGGTCATGGCCTGCCCCACGTATGGCCGGATGTGTGAGCTATATAGGTGAAGACAAGTGCAACGACAACACACGGACATTGTGAGTCGCGAGCAGCCATCGCGGACTTTAAGGAAACCATGCCCCAGCTTTATAGGTCACGGCCCTTGCACATGCTTGGACTTTATGACAGACCTAGGCCCAGACATGATGACCCGCTCGCAGAGGGGGGGGGGTGGGGGGGGGTTCGAAATAGGTGGGCCACCTATTTCTGGATCTGGGGTGGGGGGGGGGGGGGGGGGGGGGTGGTAACCACAGTGCCAACACAGCGTTTGCTGAGAATCTTTTGCTCACTAGTAGGGAATGTGGGGAACCTACGCAGAAATAGGTGGCAAGGCAGGGGCGGGTTGTGGGAATAGTAGAGCAGGGCACATACGAACCGTGGGGTGACCCCCTTTCCCTCTACCCATTTAGGCTTGGTTATTGCGGGAGCATACAGAAAAGCTGCTCGTAAGCGAACCCACACAGAAATAGGGTGGGTTCCCTAGTAGTAGCCCCCGCTATATACTCCGACAGTATCCCCCCACCTAAATGAGTAGAAGGAAAGGGGGGCACCCCGCGGTTCATATGTGCCCTGCTACACTATCCCCACAACCCGCCCTGCCTTGCCACCTATTTCTGTCAGGTTCCCTACCATTCCCTCCTAGTAGCCTCTCTATATACTCTCACAGTAATCCCACCTAGCAGAAGTAGCAGAAGTAGAAGTAGAAGTAGTAGTAGTAGTAGTAGTAGTAGTAGTAGTAGTAGTAGTAGTAGTAGTAGTAGTAGTAGTAGTAGTAGTAGTAGAAGGAGTACTTCATAGAACCAAATGATACGTGCCACCTATTTCCCCCCACCCCCCCCACGGTGGTAGAATAGGTGGCGGCCTCCAGGAAAAATAGGTGGGAATCCACGTGACCTCCCCCCCCAACCACCTATTACGAGACGGTCACCATGCCCAGACTTTATGCGTCAAGGGGCACACAGCAAGTCAGCGATTGTATGTGTCACTTATACCAGAATGCCTCCCCGGGCTTGACAGCCGAAGAAAGACTGCTATTCGCAGTCTTCCCACTCGCTGGTAGTTAGCAGTTACTTTATTTCATTTTATCACGTCGTTAACCGACCATGGTCGGGAGTTAGGTGTTACCACCATACTTTTATGATTTGTTTAGTCAACACCGGCAAGTAAACTAAGAGCAGCGATTAGCTGCTCTTAGTTTACGGTTAGAGGGGTAAAACGGGTAACCGCTTCTTTGGTTTGTGAGCTGCCTTGATCCCCAAACCCAGCCTAAACGGAGTCACGGCCGGAAGCTTCCCAAACTCTGACCACCCGAGACAACCGAAAACCTGCAAAACCTCAAAGCACAAAACGCCCCAAAAAACAGCCAGACAGAAAGGCCCGTTCAACCCAAAACCAAAAAACCCTAACAGCCCCTTCAAACCCATTAAAAACCTTAGAAACCCTACTAGGTTCCCCTGAACCCTAAACTCCAAACCCTAAACCCCAAACCCTGAACCCTAGACCCTAGACCGTAAACCCTAGACCCTAAACCCTGAAACCCTGGACCCTATGCGGAGCTGCAACTGGTATTGTAGAAAAGAGTTAGTGTTGAGAGTTGAAAGGGTTAATGAACCCGGAAAACATGCTTGGCTCAAGATGGCCGAGAGCCGTCAGCTTTTGTTGAAAAAGTACGTACGCTTGGGGTTGGGTTTAACGGGTTGGAGTAGTCCCGTCCCTTCTCCCTTATCTTGTCCCCTTAGGGTTGGGTGTTCTTGTTTCTGGTTCGATCTGGGAAATCTATATAGGCGACTGTTGAGGGTTGGTTTCTTTCCCTGTTCCCTTTCGGTTGCCCCCGTAGGTTATGAGCCCAAATTAGGTTCCCTGCGGTTTGTGTTTCGGCTTTAGGGTGGAAGTTTGAAGCCATGGCGACCAACTGGTTACGGACTGGTGCGGCATCATCGAGCTCCAATGTGGGCGACCAAGGTGAAGGTGGTGTCAAAAGGTCTGCAACGGGTGAAAAAGTTGTTCCCAATGTGGAAGCTCTGGTTGATGTTGGTGGTATGCGTGGCGAAGAGAAGCCGGTGGTGGAAGGACTGGAAGACCAGATGGAAGTAGTTTTGCTGCGCCTTCTGAGCAAACATGGGCATCTTCTTCGAGCTGCGGAATCTGCTGAATCAACGGGAGCGCCAACAACAAGCTCCTCTACGTCAAAGATGGTGGAGCAAGGGTGCCAGACAGAACTGGTTGGGGATGTTATCCCTGTTTCCAAGCGAGCTCGCAACAAAGTGAGTTTCGCGGCTGAAAGTGGTGATCTGTTGACAGGTGAAGCGGAAGAAACTGCGCCTGTTGCTGCGACAAAAAGCAGTATCCTCGTCGTTGGGGACGCAGAAGGAGTCGTTCCTGTTGCTATGGTGATGAGTGAAGGAGAAATCCTGGAATTGGAGGCAGCAAGAATACAGCAAGAGTCAGATGAAGACTTATACGCTGATGGTGGAGGCAAAGTGTCTCAAGCTGCTGACCTTCCAATCATCGACTGCGATGGGAAGACATGGGAACGCCATTTTCATGATGATGGGAGAGAATATCTTTACTGTTTAGACACTGGAGATACCCAATGGGTGGTGCCTAAGAAGACTGGAATGGCTGGAAACAGCGAGGGGCCAGGTGTTGGAATGGGCATTGTCCCTGTGGATGACGAGCCAGCGCTGGGTGCTACATCGTCCTCGTCACCTACTGAGTCTTCTAGGGCACAACAGGGTAGCATGGAAAGTGTCAACAGTGGTGTAAATAGTGTAGGTGAAAAAGATTTTTCCTCTACTATCAGGGATAGCGGTCCTAGGGCTGGTGGTGACGCCCCGACCTCGGGTTCTCCTGATGAAGAGGGGATTTCTGGAAACCGAGCAGACATCGCTGAAGCTCAACATCTGGATCGGGAAGAGATGGAGGCGCTTTCTGAGGGTGTGGCAGCGGTGGAATCGGTGGGTCCAGAAGGAAAAATGCCCAATGTGGAGATCGGAATTGTGTCGGCTGCAGAAGAGCGAGTGGTGGATGCGGTGCCTGTCGTTCAGGAAGATGGCCCTGGAGATTTGGATGACGAAGGGAAAAAGTTGTGCATTACGACTGAGGAGGTCTCTTCGTTTGGTGCCGAGAATTCTGCCATTCAAAGGGAAAAGGAAACTTCTGAAACTGCTGGAGACACGGTTGATCGGAAAGATGAGGCCTGGAGCGCCAATGAAGCGCGGGTCAACGCGCCAGATAGTACCTGGAGTGCAGGAAAAGCACGGGTTGAGGCGCATATGGTGTCACGTTCCGCGGATGACTGCAACAATGGGGCGCAGGTCTCTGTAGCAGCTGACGATGGAGGTTCACAGGTGGACGCACTGGTGCAACCTGAAGTTAGCAGCGAGGAACGAAATGACAAGGGCTACACCGGAGCCAATGAGGCAGCTGTGGTCAATGATGGTGGAAATTCTCCTTTGGAGGCCATGGAACCAAAGGAGCCTGCGGTGGAAGAAAATGTACCTGCCGCGGATGAGCAATTCAATAGCCCTGCAGTGGAAGAAAATTTGCCTGCTGCAGAAGGCATGACAAAAGACTCCAATGATGGGTCCACTCCCATGAAGGGAGAAGCGTTGCCGTCTGGAAGTTCACCGGAAGTCGACACCGAGCGAACTGTAACGGATGAGGCAAAGCCATTGGCTGGAAAAAAGGAAGATCCTGAAATCCAGGAGCACAAAAAAGATGAGCTTGTGGGACTCGTGGAGCAGGACGAGCAGTGTGACCCAAAGGTGAAGACAAAGGATGCGCCAGGAGCCGATGATACAGAGATGGTTTCTGAAGAGCATGCAAAGAAAGTGCCCCGAGCGGGAGCCTTGGAATCACCTGGGACACATTGCTATCAAGAGGGAGATGAGATCATGGGTCTAGTGCGCTGCATCAATGGGTATGGAGCCTTTTTGGACCATGGTGATGTGAATGTGTTGATTCCTGCAGAAGGGAATAATGCATATCAGTTCAAATTTGGTGATACTGTCAATGGAACAGTGAAGCGAGTGGAAGATGATGGTACCATAATCTTGGACACCTTTCTGGTTTTGGAAGAGGAGGAGGAGGACTCTTCTTCGACGCTGCGTAAATGGAAACCCAGCGGCTGGAGTACGTGGTGGACAGATTCATGGTATGCTGGTCAATGGTACCAAGATTCCAACAGTCAATGGACTGGAGACGGGAGGAAGAGCAATCCGATGAAAAGGTTGCTGATCAAGAGTTATCCTCAGAAGAAAAAGAGGAAAGGCAACTTTATGGAGAAAAGATCTATAAAGCTCTTCTGGAGGATGGAAACGAAGATAAGGCCTATGTGGGCAAAATCACTGGGATGCTGTTGGGTCGCCCAATGGAAGATCTACAGGAGTGCGTTGCAGATCAATCATTCCTGAACGCGGAAGCTCGGCGCGCCTATGGCATCTTGCAAAGTGATGGTTGGGAACCTGATGGTACGGAAAGCACAGGTTTGGGAAAGATATCCACTTTTCCCCGAAAACAGTACCACAACGCGCTCTTCGAACTGGCATGCAGAAAAAGGAGATTTACTCGACCAGTTGTGGGTGAAGCGGTGGCAATGGTGCTGAGTCAAGGGGAAGATGAGCTTTGGAACGCGCTTTGGTTGGACACCAAGCGATTTTTGCAGGAGCTTGATGGTGCAGTGCAATCCATGAGTAAAAGGGAGGGTAGGCCAATGGAAGCCTACATGGATCCTGACCAGTACAAAAAGGCTCACATGACTCCACAGACTGTGTCACCTGGATACAGCAAGCTGTGCAAGTTCTTCAATCGGGGAAGGTGTCGCAATGGTGATGGTTGTCCCTATGAGCATCGTCGTTATGGTGAAGGTTGGCCAGAAGGGGGGTCAACTGATCCAAAGAACAGCCAAGAAGCTGAAGATGAGGATGGGAACATCGGTGACCCTCCCACAGAGGAAGGTACAGTGGATGAAGCACAGCAGGAGCGGGAGGATTTAGCCTTCCGGGCCAAGTACAATTTTGGCAAAGGTGCATCAAAGGGTGAACCTACATCGGGTGAGCCAAAAGGTCGTCTGTGTC